GAGAAGCGGAAGCGGAGATGCGCGCGGGTGAAAGAAAGCGTGTTTTGGGAGGGAGGGGAGACGGTAGAACTGTTCCTGAGACCCACCAACCTGTTTGGGGAGAGGGGAGGGGAGAGGGGGGGGGGGTGGAGGGAGGAGGATGGGGAGGTGGGGAAGGCGCGTTGTGTTTTGTGGAATGGGTTGTTTTTTGTTTGCTTTGAGAAATAGTTAGACCAACCCCGGAAATATGACATCGAAAAGAACCCAGATCGCTAGGTGCAATAATTCCTTTGAAGGAGCTGTTTTTTGGTCTCTCCTGTCTGGTTTTCGTTGTTGCTTGAAAAGGCCATCAGGGCCAGACCTGTAGTAGTGCGTGTTTTTTGCCCTTGGCACATGTTTTTGGAGGAACAGCAACCCTTCTTGCATTTCACGGGCCCAAAAAGGGATGCCCTATTTTCCCATGGCAGGTGGAGGTCTGAGGAAACGGCTGTCAAGAGTGTCCGTTGCGTTTATGTCGCTTCCTAGAAAGATTTTGGAGGCGGGGGTGTGGTTGGGGTCGCAGGAACAGGTCCAGTTTAGCTTGTTGTGGCCAACCCCCTGGAATTCTGACCCGTATGTGTGAGAAAGGCCAGGCGGCTTCCCAGTTGCAAAAAATGGCACCACTTTGTGTTTCCCTGTCATGTGGCTTCCTCATCATGGTCTTGGCCAGCTATTTGGTAACGGATCTTTTGACTTCCACCTTTCGCTTGAACTCAAGAGTCCAATGTAACCCCCGAATAAACCCCAGGACCTGATCTCATAGTTATAGGTTAAAATTAAAAGGGCGCTAAATATGGGTTAAAATTTGGCGGTCGGTGGAAAGCACTTGGCAAGCGAACCGGTTTGCCCTTTGACAGCGTTGACTGCCACGCAAGTGTGGCTCGATGGAGGCGGTTTGGCATCTGGTCAGGGAAAACTGGCCACTCAGTCATGTGTACATCATTAGCGCTAGCGGGGAACTGCCTTTGGCCTGGCACATGGTGGGATTCGGCGTTTGGCAAACGTCTTCAAGGTTTTCGGCGTCAATCTGGGCTGTAAAACTGCCGAAAACCCCTATGAACCCCAAACATCTGTGGCCGAAATCCCCTATGAACCCCAAAATCTGTGGCCGAAAACCCCTATGAACCTCAGCCCGGCGGTTATCTGTGGCTTAAAACCCTATAAACCCAAGCTTGTGGTTTGAAGACCGCGCGCCCCTTCAAAAGTTGCCAACACCAACTGTGACTTCGCCATTTTTGCAACATCTGAGCTCCAGCGATTGATTATCAATCCCAGCGGGCAGAACCACTGGGGGCGATCCGCGTTGCAGGAATTGAACCTTGAGGGGGACTCTTGCGATGGCAAATGCGAGCTTCGGAATGAATCAAATCATGTATTTCTCTGTTTTTTCAGGGTCCTTGCAAAATGGCCTTTGGAGGCAGAAATCAGCGAAATCAAAGGGTAAGCCTCAACCGAACCAGGCCTTAATTAAGGCCTCACTAACGATGAACATTCTTGGGGTTTACCCAGGGGTTCAAAGATAGTCCTTTTGATGGACCCTTCCATTCGGTTAAGAATATGTCTTTTCCCCTGTTGGTTTGAAAGGGAATCTATCACTACTGGAAACATGTTGTTTTGTTTCGGGGCACTTAAGCAAATGGAGGAACCAGCTCGTTGAACATCTCCGAATTGGAGCAAACTTAACTTGTTGCAGAGGGTCGCGGTCGCCAGGACGAGTTGCTTCCCGTTGATTTCGGGGTCACGGAACCTGAGGCCTGGCCCGGACAGGCAACGACGCGGAGCTCTGGGAGCTTCATGAACAGGCGCGGAAACCTTTTCAAACCTGGGAAGGATCAGCCCCATCGAACTGCTTAAAACTCACTACTAGGATTTTCAACCTAGTAAGTACTTGGTGGCTCCCAGCCATCCCCTTAGCTTTTTAGCCTTTTAGTGTATAGTGGTAGTAGTGTCCATTTAACCCACTAAAAGTTAGTCACTTTCAGCGCGGGATCTGAAAACGGGCAGCCCAGAGTAGGTTGTAATCCAGGCAAAACAAAGGCGCAACTGAGGCCCCTCAGTGGGGTATGAATCGGGAAACACATTCATATAGTGCTGCGGGCGGCCTGGCACTTGAAAGCTACGGCTTTCAAGCACTTAACAAATGGGGCTGGCATCCAAGGAGGAGCCAGAAGGATTAATCGCATTTTGCGAGAGGAGAAAGAGAAGGGGCCAATGCCCATGCCTAAAATAGATGGTGTTCGCCTGGCTTCCCAACTCACGCCCTTTCATGGGTACCCTCAACACAGACACAAGAACATAACTGGCCTATGGGTGATCCTTCTATCTTTCTGCAAACCAGCCAACCAATTTTGCGCGTGGTAAGTTTGCTAGGTCCCCCAGTACCCTTTCTCTCCCCTTTTTGGATGGGAGGGTTCCCCTACCAACTTAGACGACAGAAAAAAAAGAAAGGTGCCCTTGTGCTAAGCTCTCAAATGTGGACCTAGAGGAGCAGTGTGGCTATGGTGTTTGTTTCTTCGTTTGGGATGTGGAAGCGTCAAATGTTTACCAAAGGGGTTGCAAGGACATGGTTCAGGTGGGAAACCTAAAGAAAACCCACTTTTGTTTGACTCCACTTCACGGGAACCTCCGGCTCGCGCCTTCGAGTCATGGCGAGTCTCAGGCCGCGGCAGACGAGAGTGTCTTCGTAGGGGCGGGCAGAAGCGAGATGGCGAGGCCCCTTCAAGCCGTGGCAGCGATGAGCTGGGGTGTGCTTCCTCTTTTCATGGTTGTTCTTAGAAACATTGTATTTTTTTGCTTAGTCTATGGTCTTAGTCTTTGGTTCCATTGACCGAGGTGTCACTTTGGTACATTTGTTTGAGCTACAGCCATTTGACACTTTTCAAGACAGATATGGACTAGGTCCCCCAGTAGTGCCCTTTTACCAACTTGTTTTTTTCGTTGGGAGGGTTCCCCTACTAAAATAAACTACAGAGAAAAAGTGGGTACCCTTATTCTAAGCTCTCTACTGGAGGAACTAGGTGGACGTGGTTTTGCGTTTTGGCATGTGTTTCATGTTGGGTGTGGTTGAAATTGTTTAAGACACTTTTCATTGACATATATGGACGGTGTGGTAGTTTTTGTTCTTTTATGCTTGGAAAGAGGGAATTGGAAAGAAAGCACACTGCAAGTTGACAGGGGCACCAGAAATCATATTAACCGTTATTAACCAGTGTTCGGATTTGAAGTCTCGCCTGACAGGCATCTCCGTCATGTTTCACATTCTCCCACTTCTCCCTCTTCTTACGCCCTATCATTGGCGAGCTGGCGCAAGTGGGGGCCGGAACGGACTGCAAGCAGAAGTAAAGGCTTTCTTGCGTGCAAGCACCGGCCAAGTTCTATAGCGCCCAAGAGCCCCCAATAGTCAACTACTTCTTGGGTGCCACGATACAAGGAAGTAAGCCTCCTAGCCCTAACAGGACCTGTGTGTGTGTTTTTGCTGTTAGCCTTTTCAGCTTGGATTTAAAGGGAAACAACCAGGAAAACTCACCATTTTTGCCCCCCCCCCCCCCCGGACAGACAAATATCCAACAATACATCAAGGCAATTTTGTAGCGCGGAGCCACAATCAAACAACTCGGTAAGACAGAGGTTGGGCAGTCACAACCAGGAACAGTGCGGCGACCTTCCTAGCTTTTTACCTGTGTGGATAGACCACTTCAATGGGTTTTGGTTGCATCTCCGGAGTGTAGAGTCCAAGTGGCCACCATGCCAGGAAGGTTTCGGGTCTTTGGGCTGAAAGACCTCCGGACTGGGAGTTGACCAACACTCATGGCCCATGGTAAATGGCGGGAGGTGCTACTTCTGAACTTGCTTGATGTATTTTGCGCAGCTGTTGGCCTTCTGGAGTGTTTTTTTTCCTGCAGGGGAGGGCGTCAAGATGAAATTGGTTCCCAGGTCAGTGTTGAGCTGGCAACCTTGAAATTTTCTTCTTGTTGAGAGGAGTACGATTTTGCCCAGGGCCGATTCCACATGTTGCAACGTGTTTCTAACTATTAGGCTTGAGGCTTCACTTTTCTTGGCGTGTTTGGTTTTGGGTCGATTTATTTTATTTTTGGTGGGATTGATTGCTTCCGAATGTTAGCTCGGGACGGCATCTGAGTGATTTGCTTTCCGGTCTGAGACAAGTACAAGATACCAAGGGTAAAGGTAAAGGGAAATCCTTGATTGCTATTGGGTCGGATCTTTGCACTTTAAGTGTTTGGAGCAGTGGGGTCAACAGCAACCAAGAAGCATGAAGATGGTACTGGCGCAACATCAACCTGGACATAACTGGCACCTCCCTGGGAAGAACCAAATCTTGGGAGGGGGAGCCGGTGTCTCAAATGGAGTGCTCCTCGCCCCCTAAGAGGTGCCCAAGAGTAGGGGATGTCCTTTTGATTGAAACAGCTTACACAAAAGCTAGCGAACACACACACAAAACCAATTTTGCGAGGTTGGCAAACCCTCTTTGTAGTTGGCACACCCCTAAGTTTAAATTCGAACCACCCGATAGTCACCCCTGGGGTATATATATATATATCTCAGAAATCGGCGGTTTCTCCTACCCGTTCTCCGAGCCGTTCGCACGCGGTGCGCGATACCAGGCTTCCTGGGCGGGGGACCTGCAACCTGCTGGAGTTGGTCGGAATCACAGACACCCGCCGGTGGACTCGCGAATGTTCTTGAGGGACCCCTGTGTTGTGGGTTTTCAAGGAAAGTCAAAAGGAAAACCGAAGCCATTTACGGGCCCCAAACAAAGACACACCCATACTGTGGATGGTTATATGATCCTCGCTCATCGACGCCTGGTATGAAGAAGACCCAATTGGCATACCTGCAAAAAACAATATATTTGTTTGGCGCGAAGTTGAGTTTGTGCATCCGCCCGTTTGTTCTCATTTTTCCCCATGCTCCATGAGCCGGTGTTTTCAGTGAACAGGTAGCCCGGGATATCTTTCGTTGGC